CGTTTATAGGCCCATTTTTCCAACTACCCTTGCTTTATTCAAGACAAAATAGAAAGTTAAATTTTCCATCCACAATCATAACTTTGTTGGAGGATCTACTGTCTAAAAAGCTTTAGGAATATTTAGCAAACTACTTAAACAAAGAATGAAGCTATAAACTGGCAATAATAAAGTATATTTACAGGAGAATTGTCAATATGCTCAGTTTGTATGATCTACCATTTATTACTGTCATTAGAATCTGTGTTTTAACAAATAGTACCCTTTTATGTCAATAAACTGTTGGAAAGGAGGAGTTGTGCTTAAGAAATGCTATATCTTTATATAAGCAACCTGCTGCACAGTCAATTGTCTGAAAGAATGTCTTCCTTTTATTCAACAGCATATTACCTACCAGAAGGATGCAATTACCAAACACAACACTGCACTATCTGCATATTGAGATTAGTACTGTCTCCTCTGACTGGAAGCAGCTCAAGCCAGAGGACTTTTCTTATCACCTCCTACCAGATTCTTTTAATCAGATATGTGGGGATTGAGCTGGGGACCTTCCATATGCCAAGCAAATGTTCTACCCCTGAGCCACACTGTCTTTATTCATATACATGGAGTGAATCCTACACAACTGAACTGTGGCCTTCCTATATCCGGACAGAGTCAAAATCATATTTTAATATAACTTGAAAACAGGTACTTTTTGAAGACCATGAGTCTTTCTTGGAGAATGTTTGAAGTTAAAAAAGAGAAACACTTAAAATCTTTAAACAGACAGAGAAATGCCAACAATTTACAGTGCCAACTCCACAAATCTAGAATAGTTACATTGCCCAGCCCAGAGTGCTTACAAGATGGGTGTGCCAGTTTGCATTTCCTTCTTCCTCTGACTTCACTGTCAATGTGCTCTTCCCCTCTTCCAAAGGGAAACTCAGGCACTCAAACTGCAACAGCAAGCAGTTCTTCCTTGAATAGCTACACAGAGTCCCTACAAAACTGCTTTTCTCTAGTGCTCCTTCAACACTTTTGCAGCAGCCCAAACACTGAGTTAACTCCTGTTCACACAGAAGACTGGGAGGGGAGGAAAGGAAGCATTGGAACGGACTGACTCAAACACTTCACCTGATGGAATGGGAGGCTGACTCAGTCTGCTCTGTAGTTCAGTATATAACAGTCACGGGACTGTTATATCAGCTATACTCCCCACACACATGCCACTGCCAACCCACTTCCACAGCTCAAAGATACAAGTGGGTTGAAAACAGTAATAAGCTGCTATGCAGTGCCCACTGAAGCCATCACATGGTAACATCATCTAGAAACACTGCAAAAATTGAGCACCTTGTCAAACAAGCAATTGTGCACACCTTTATTAAAGGACATAGTAAACAAATGCGAATGTATACAACTTTATAATTCAAGAATGCAGGCACACTTTAGTTTACTACATACTAAAGCTTACCTAAGAGCACAAATGACCATTTTCACATCATTAATAAAACTATATTAAAAAGGGTTAACAAAATATCTCTGCAGATTTTACCATACTTCAGCAGAGAGAGAACAGAGAAAAGTAATAATTACCTCAAGATTACAATCCTCAAATATCTTGCTCCAGAGTCATTCAATAGGTTACAACATCCTTGAAGAAGAATCACTAGATTTAGGACAGTAATGGTATAATGCTCAATACTGCCACAAATAGTCAACCAAAAGGCCCCCTATTTAATTAAAATTTCAGCACTTTTTCCAGTGCTCAAGGCACATCACATGCGATGACCAAATAATCAGTGCAATAGCAGTGTTAATTTGTTGTTGTTCAGTCGCACAGTCGTGTCCGACTCTTTGCAACCCCATGGACCAGATAACGCCAGGCCTTCCTGTTAATAGTGTTAATAAAGGTAAAGGTAAAGGTTCCCTTGCTTGAAAGCCAGTCGAATCCGACTCTAGGGTTGCGGTGCTCATCTCCGTTTCAAAGCCGAAGAGCCAGCGCTGACCGATAGATGTTTCCGTGGTCATGTGGCCGGCATGACTAAACACCGAGGCGCACGGAACGCTGTTACCTTCCCACCGAAGTGGTACCTATTTATCTACTTGCAATTTCTTGCTTTCGAACTGCTAGGTTGGCAGGAGCTGGAACTAGAGATGGGAGCTCACTCCATCATGAGGCACCCGGGTCTCGAACTGCTGAACTACTGACCTTCCACAGCCTGCAGTTCAGCATCTTAACCACTTGAGCCACCACAGACCAGTATTTCCTTTACCCTTCCAGTGGGCTTCTGAAAAAATGTAATGTCAACATGGCTTGGCTCGTTCTTGATAGGCCACAATATTTTTGCTTGGAGCAAGAGTAGAGGAAGGAACAAAAGCACCAAAAAGAAGAAAAGCAGTTTGATAACATCTTCATAATACTAAAGACCTCTACCCTTAATTATCTGCACTAGTGAAATATATGAATATTTCTGTCAAATAATCAGTTTCAGCTATTTGAGATACTATTAATGGAAGATGCAAGACTTATACTTACTTCTGGATTCCTGGACTTAAAGACTCCCAGCTCCTCTGGCGTTTACTAAAAATCAGAGGTAGAAAGGCATGCCCATCTGTATGATACGGCAAGACTTTTTGTTGCTATTAACAACCCTTCTGCAGTACACTCACAAACTCCTTAACTATACAACTTTAAACCTACAACTTTGTCTGCCCTAACACCCCCAACATATCCTTGTCCATGACTTTCAATTCTCTGACTCTTCAACCTTTTCAAATGAATCTGCTAAGTCTCCCTTAACCCCATTTATGTTTCCAATTCTGCCAACTCTTTCTTTCTCTCATATCTCAACCATGAAATCTGGCTTATAGAAACTCAAAAAAGATAAAGAAAGAAAGAAGAGAAAACTAAGTACATGTCATTCCATATTCCTGCCAGTTTTTCTTGCTTCTTCCTGCTCTTCCTCCTCCCTCAATTCAGGCTTTGAGCTACTTGGGGCAAGTGCTTCTCTGTACAGCTCCACATACACTAATGGTGCCTGTATAATACATAAAGTTAAATAACAAATATCACTGGTTCTCCTTATCTATTAATACCTGCCTACACTGGTCACTGGCTATATCTTTCCTCCAGTGCCAAAAACTACAGGCCTAACACCACCCAACTGTGATCACAGTGAATCCTGCTAGGCACTGCTTACAGATTTCTAGCAGCTGTTACAATCTTTGGATACCGAAAAGTCACTGAGGAATAGCGCCAGCCAATTCCTCCAGTAATGTAAGCGACAGATTATGCTTACCTTAGAGCCTCATATCCAAACCAAGCAAGCATTTATGACTGCTACATTCTTAACCATTGTTGTCATCCTGATCCTGTGCGTAATGCCATTCTAATTTTAAAAACAATGCTTGGCAATATACTAGGCCTTGCCTTTTTCCCTACCAGCATGTAGAAAAGCTATGTCATCCTATGATTCAGAAAGGAATCTGTAGTTCTGACAAAACTTCAACTAAGCCAGAGCACATTTAGTTAAAACAAGTTAAAGGGATTAACAGTGCAAGTGTATGCAGCTAGAACAGCTCTGTGCAGGATACTTTAGAGATCCCCTGGAGTATAATATAAAACAAGTACTTGCAGAGGGCACCTCACTTTTCCCTCAACCACTATTCTCTCTCTCTCTCTTCTCTGAATGCTGTTATAGCTTCTCTCTTTTCTTGTTTCCACCCATCCATCCTACCTACTAGCCTACCTACCTTTATCTGTCCCCCCCCCTCCAGCTTTTCCTCCTTCCAGCAGCCTCTCCCTGGGAAAACTGCACCAGGCGAGGCTGCATGGCAATACAATAATGTGTGTTTTATTTTTTAAAAAGATTTCAAATTTTTCTTTAAACCTGGGGCTTTTCTCAAATTTGTACAAAGATCTGTCTTGTCTGTTCATTGCCCAAATCTCTGAATTTAAGCATTCAAGTGGGAGCCATGCTGAGAATTAGATATTGATTATGAGACTACTGGATTAAAAGCACTCATGCAGTTGTGTCACACAGACAATATTAAGACTGCAAGGATCTTCCCAAGGCACCAGCACCATATTTACTATAGCCACTGAAGCAGAAAATGTGCCGACAGCCCTACACTGCACAACAGTCCTACACTGGTAAGTGCTTTTCACTCAGTGGCATCACACTGAAATGACTGCCCGAGTAAATTGTGCCACCTCTGAATGCTGTTAATGAAACAAAACAAATGAGAAAGTTACTTTTAAAAATTGCACCTTCTAAATACATTCGTGCCATTACAGAACGATTGAAACTTTGCATGTGAAAGTTCCCTTAATGCCTAACAAGACCTTTTGGCACAAGAAATAACGCTGAACGAGAGCCGGGGCATGCCTGATACATTCTATTCATGGCCTGTCTTTTACGCCCTTTCCCATAATTCCTATAATTGCCTAGGGAGAGTCATGGCTGGTAAGGCTTATGTGGCTTCACAAATCACACGAAAAGTCAGATTTAGAAAACCACTTTCTAATCCACCGGGAGACTTCCCCCTCCACGCCCTCAGACAAAATTCCCGAGAAAGCAAGGCTTCGCATTGCCCTACAAAGTCAACCCAACGATCGCTGAGATTTCCACGTGGATTTTAACAGGGTAAAGAACAGAGAGAGAGAGAGAGCGGGCGGGCGGCCAAAACTGGCCGTTTGGCTCTGCTTCCCCGCCACTGCTCCCTGGGATCAACGGTAATCCATAACTTTACCCTCCCTCAGCCACCGCGGACAAACGCCAAACGCGGATCAGTGAGAAGAGGGCGCCTCGGGAAAGCAACCCTGTCCTACCGCGGTGGAAGGAGCAAAGGCTTATGCTGAACACGTGCGAAGTGTCGCGCGGAAGGTGCGGCCTGCGGCGGGTCAGGCCAGGGCAAGGCGCTTGGCGTGGGGCTGGGACAAGTCCCACAGGAGTCACGCCGGCCCAGCGCGCCACCGGGGCGGGGGGGTGAAGGCTGGACGCCGCCACACTCACCTGCAGACTTTGCTTGGCTTTGCCGAGGGGACTCCTGAAAAAAGACGTGCGGGCGGTGAAGAAAAACTCCTCGGACTCCGACTCTTCCCAGCTGCTGTAGCCGCTGCTCATGCTGCTAGTCCAAGTCATGGGCGCTGCCCGACGCCGCTGTTCCTGCAGGGGCCCCGAGACGACCCCCTCAGCCGCTGCATGGGGACCCGGCAGCAGGGAGCTCCGGTCGCTGCCGCAGCTTCCTTGGCGGCGAGCTGTGAGCAGCTCGTTAGCGACTTTACACAGAGCAGGGCGGTCCTGGCTTAGCCAGCGCCGCCTCCCGCCCGGTCAGTTCCTCCTCCGAGCTTCCCTTGGCTGCCTGCTGTCAGCAACCTGCCTGAGAACTTGGGGCTGCAAGCGGGCGGTCGCTTCCCTCATTCCTTTTGAATTTGGACTTCAGCCCCACCTCAGCAGGTAGCAACACTTCCTAGGCTTTGATTCTGTGGGCATGCTTGACATCCCCCTCACGGGACTTCCGCCTTGAGAACAACTTCTAATCTTTGGCTGGCCATTGTGGCCTGCCTAAAATAGTCATCGTTTTGTTCTTTGTAGTCATGCAAAAACGCACGAGGAGAAAAAACAACAAGAGTTATCAGCTGTTCCTTACTTTAAGAACATCACTGGCATCACAATAGGTTTCCCTTACGTTATGCACCAAAGCTTCTGATTTTTTTTCCCCAAGCATCATTTTCTACATTTCTTTTATTTTGCCAGTTGAAACAAATAGATCTGGAAGAGTTTGATTAAATTGTTAAAATTAATACCAAATGTACATGCAAGTGTATGATAGTTAAAACAAAAGGTTTCACTGTTAGGGCAATGGAAACAATGCAGCATTGTAAAGCATGATTTGCTTATGCTTACTCTCACGTATGCTCAAGATGGCTAGGTAAACAGGAGGAGTTAAACCACAGGAGTTAAATTCATTCTTACACTAATCCCAACAGCATGTTACCTGAAGGAGAGACTCGAGTGACTGCAGTCAACCAGCGCATGTGGCAGCCAAATATTGTGATCAGTCCATTCTGTTTAAATATAACCAAGTTCCCTAACTGAAAAGACAGAAAGATCTTACAGAAAAGTTGAACTCTGGACTTTATTCTGAAATACAGTAAGTGCTGTGCCCCTTTAAGTGACTGTTAGCAGCACTGCAATACACAGGTGTTGCAAACCAGTCTTGTCATCTATCCAAGTTATTAGAATATTTCAGTATAATACCCTCATGCCAGTATGGTATAGTGGTTAAAGACTAAGAACAGGGAAACCTAACTCTGAATCCTCACTGTGCCGTGGAAGTTTGTTGGATGACTTTGGTCCAGACACACACAAACACATACACTCCACCTACTTCACAGGATGGTTTTGAGGATAAAATGGAAAAGGGCAAAATGTCTTAAACATGTTTGGGTCCCAGATGACGAGAAAGATGGGGTATAAATGAAGTTAAGTAAAAAATAAATACATAAATACTCTGCTCTTAAGCATATTTATTGTAAAGTAAGTTAACTGGGACTGTTAACTTCAGCCTTAGATAAGAGGTCTGCCACCTGTATGTTCCAAAGTATATTCACAAGAACATAAAAATAATTTGTTAGACTCTTGGAAGTGGCAATAGGAACAAAGAATATATTTTAAAACATTCACTTAAGCATAATTAAAAACTGCAAAGCAAATATGAATATATATTACCTGTACTAAATATTTAAGATATTTCTTTCCTTAATGCCTAATTGCGGACTGGCAAAAGAATACCCAATGGTTAGTGACAGGTAATACCATGCCAAGACTGAAAATTATATTGTTGTAGACTATAGTGCTTCCAATAACCATTCAATATAGCCACTGTCAAAATTCTTAACAACATCAGCAAGAGAAGGGATGGCCATATAACAGCCAATGCTTTGTTTTAGCTTTCTACCAAATATTAAATAGAGAATGTAATCCTCCTTTCAATACATGTTTTACTGAAGTAAATTATTATTGGGGTTGAAAGCCTGTGAGAATTACTACTCTCTCATTTCGACCACAGAGCATCAAGACATCCTTTTTACAAACTATGGGCAAGTCAAGTATGTAGCGGTTGGAAGGCTTGGTGTTAAATGTGAAGAAATGCATTGTGTGTGAGATAGATGCCATATCTGGCAAGGGCCTTATGCTTTGCTTGAGACTGTAGCTATAAATTGCAATTTTCATAGCAAATAACATCTTTTGCTTAAGCTTCTACTCCATAAGCCAATCTGTTTAAAATGAGGGGGTTTTTACTGATAAGTCAGTTGTTGCCAAAATACTATTAGAGAAGAAAAGTCTAGGCAACAAATCTGGTAAATTTGTTTTTAAATTAAAAAAAAAAGTCTTTGCCCTTTTCTGCTCTATTCTCAGTTTACCATTTCAAGTATTACTGGTGTTTGTTTTTTGCATACATTTTATAGCACAGATGTTTAAACTATTAAAACCTCAGCAACATTTAGTACTTAGAGGAATAACAAAACAAAAATATGAATCTAATGTCACATTCCATAAGACATTGCCTCTCTCAGGCATGGAGATTTCATGTGAAACAGTTGTGTGCTTTTTCTTTCAGACTTTCAGTATGCCAAAAATAATTAATACAGGCATGTGTGGCAGGCAGAAGGGTACAATATTGTAGTTTAGGAAGTACTATCATCAGACACAACTCTTCTGTTGCATTTGAAAGAGATCTTTAAAATAGCTGAAAAATTCCCAAGATTTTTGAAATATGTCAGACATTTTTACATGTTTATGACTTTTAAGGAGAACGTTATTTTTTAAAATTTATTGCACTGACTTCCTAAGTATCCCTTTCATTTTTAAGAACTGTGTTGTGTATAAAGCAGATGCCTTATGCTTTTGGAGGACTGCATTTACAGACAGCTAAAAACTCAGGTTTCTTCTTGTGTACAATGGTAATTAAATGTTACTAGTATACAACTGTATCAGAAGACAAGAAACATGCACTACCCCAAGAATTTAAAACACCACCTTACAAGTCCAGCACTCTGTATTTAGAACTCTAAATACAACTCTAAATATTTCACAAGGTTATATTTAATACTATGAATGGTGGAAAGAAAGAAGCAGAATTATAATTATGTGTCTAGAAGAACTCATTAACCACAACATCTGGTGTGCTTTGATACAAGTCAGCTAGACTGGCAAGACTGTAATATGCCCAGTGTCATCCAAGGATACTTAGAGCCACTGTGCCAGTTCTAACAGGTAATAGCTATACCCATTTATTATCACTAGCAAATCTCCATTTAAGCATTTGGTATCTAGATTTTCTCACATCTGTACAATGATAATGAATTGGGAAATTTCTGCTTCATAAACCTCTGACAATATTTGTCACGTGATCATCTGTAAACATTTCAAGAGGATTTTTATTTCCATTTGTAACAAGAAGCAAGATATTTAAAATACTCACTGATATCAATATTTCAGGAGTCAGACAGTAGATTTAAAATAAAATCACAACAGAGATATGATATATAGTTACATGCTTTAGAATGGAATTAAGGGAGCCAGTGTAATGTAGTGGTTAGAATATCAGGCTAGGATCTGGGAGACTGATGGACCTCCTGATGGCACCTACTATTTTTGGCCACTGTGTGACAGAGTGTTGGACTGGATGGGCCATTGGCCTGATCCAACACTGGCTTCTCTTATGTTCTGTCATGGAAGTTTGTTGGGTGACCTTGAGCTACTCACACACTCTCAGCCTAACTTACCTCACAAATTTGTGAGCATAAAATGGAAGAGAGGAGGACAATGTAAGTTGCTTTGGATCTCCACTGAGGAGAAAGGTGGGGTGTAATTTATATATAGTCCCTCCCCTCCCTAAACCCCACCCACCTCAGGCTCTACCCCAATATATCCAAGTATTTCCCAACCCAGAACTGGTAACCCTACCTACAAGGGAGAGAGGAGAAACAATTGAGAAATGCTACCCTCCAAAAATCTGTTGGTCTCAGGCTTGAACCTGCCAATCTGCACAATCCCTTTCCCCCCCTATCCTTTAACTTGACATTTCATAATATTATATCACTTCTGGGGAATATTTGGTCTTTATGAAGTGATTTTTAAGTTTTGTTGCTTTGGTTAATTTACAAAGTTATATTTTATTGCATAGCTGGATTATCACAAAGATACAGAGGCCTTTCTCTGTGGGTTGCTCAGTTTTTCAGATTTTATCATCCCCTCAGGGGCCAGCCAGTTTACCATTAAATACAGCAATAGAGCTTTTCCTCCCTCTCCCATACTGGGAGGGGGGCAATTAAGTTGATGGGCGATAGGTTCAGGACAGACAAAAGGATTTTTTTGTACTCAGTGTTGTGGAATTCACTGCCAGCAAACAAAGCAATGGCCACAAATGTAGATGGTTGTAAAAATATTAATGGAGTATAGTAGGCCCATCACTGGCCATTAGCCACAATGACTGAAGGGAGTCTCCATATACAAAGGCAGCAAAGCTCTGAATACCAGTGCTTTGAGGCAGCATCAGGGGAAGGCCTTGGGCTCTATGGCCAGTTTGTTTGGTCCTTCCACTGTGTGAAATTGTATGCTGAACTAGATGGATCGTTAGTCTAATCCAGCAGGGCTGTTTATGATACTTGAAGCCAGTTCTTTCTCTTACCCCAAGACATCATAGCCATTTTGGTTTAATGTAATATGTCTAAACTTTAATGCATTTTACCCTAAACTATTTCTATGTTATTTTCTGTACCAGCCCAATGCATTCTTTTAGTATGTAATCTGATACACATCACCATTATTTGTTTCAGTATTTGAAGACATTTCCTTAAAATTATCATACATGGTTTATATTTTAAATATAAAATTTATTTTAAAAAGTACTAGGTGCTCGGCTATGTTCCAGAGAGCAATAAATATGAACTGTAATTTGCTTCATTCACAATTCAAGCAAAGCACCATATACTTACAAACTAAATCCTAAATGTATATTTAGAGGAAGTAAGCTTTACTGAGTCCATTGAGTTCAGCAAGGCTTACTTCCTGGTAAGCATGCATAGGGTTGCAGTATCTGAGACTTGTTCTACTGAAATTACATTCTTGGCACTCTTTGCTTATAATAATTTTTTTCCATATAAGGAAAAACTCTATTTGGATATTATGATTATATAATCTGACAACGGTTCTGAAATTTTAAACACCTACTGATGTTAGCTTTCTCTAAAGTATTCATTTATTCATTCAAGA